GTGATACCAGGTTGCATATGGTATTTAACGGGACATCAGCCAATTTAGCTGGTCGAACCAATCTAAACCAAGTAAATTTAGATCAGCTGGCGTTATATAGCATACCCCAGTAAACGACGAATCTCGGAAAGCAACTTTACATTCCAATTGTCCTAACAGACGAAGATAATTACCACATGCTGTACGAGGCTTTTGTGTTGTGTGCTGCAGGCTTGGGCTGCCCAATTTGGTCCAATTTTTGCGTGAGAGGATAGTGACATCAGATGCAGTATCTATTTGCATTCCACACAAATAACCGTTAATATTAAGAGTAATAAATTTCCTCTCACCTGGTGATGAGCTTTGGCAGGAAGATATTAGGCTCAATGCATTGGTACTGGATCTAGGAACAGGCTTCTTAGCACTTCTGGATCGCTTTGGCTTTTTCTGTAGGCAAAAGCCATCTTTATGACCGATGACTTTACACTTCCTGCATCTATGCTGCCTAAATGGGCAGTTCCGTACATAGTGCCATGAGCCGCAGTGCCAGCAAGCAGAAGGGGGATTCATTTTGGGTTTTGGGCAGAATTGGAGCGGGATGAACTGGGTGTAGCATGGGCAGACTTATTATGATAAGGTGGCTGCTGTACCAAATGAATTTCAGATCGGCATGAACTACCACTCTGCACTATCGTTGAGTCTCGTTGTAGGTTAGTGAGACGTTGGTACTCATGAGCCATTTCATTAAGCGTAAGCTTCGGATCTTGCTCCAAACGACTTAGTAGCCTTGTTCTAATATCACTGAACTTACTCGACTGGAGGCTGCAGATGAGTATAAGGGCTTTGAACTGGTCTTCCGACAAAGACTTCAACCGAAAGCGTTCGCATTCACGGTTGACGATGCCCACGTGCGTAAGAAAATCATCATCTTCGTTCATAATTAGCTTCAAACATCGATAACGAGTATTAAATAGTGACGAGTTGTCTCCAAAGTGTTGGCTTAAAGTCTGGACAGTCTCAGAAAACGAACAATCTCGTGGGTTCAAAGGCAGGATCAAATTACAGTACTTATCCAGCTCACTTGCGCCCAACTTTCGAAGTAGCAGCCGAACCTTCCAAGCATCATCTTGATTGGCGAAATCAAATTTAAATAAATCTTCATAACGCCGGAACCACATGTCAAAAGTGACATTTGCATCAGGATCATAATGAAATTCAGATATGCTATTTGCGATGCCGTCGACCGATGGAGCTGTGGTTGCATTAGATGAGCTGGGGTGTGTGGAAGGGGAAATCTTCATGTCTGTCAACATCTGCATCAGTTTTAACTGCTGCTCAAGTAGTAATTCAAGTTTGACAGGATCCATATTTCCAAAAGCACCGTCGCCACTGATAAGTTCGTCACTTAGTATGCTTGAGGCTATTACGAGTTTACCTTAGTCGATAAACGCGAACGAGACTTTTACCAGCTTCCAGGGAGGCTACCTTGAATCCGCGGCTGAATTGAAAAGGCTTTGTAAGCGTAGAAAGTATATTCTACAAACACCCAGCAATCACAGTACAATCAAGCATACAACTCTCGTTATTTATACGACATAAGAACGTCCTTGACACAGTTAAGAAAATAGCATAATAAAATACACAGCAGCCAATGACAGCCATGGATTTTGCTGGTGGGAATTGAAATCTCAAGGTCATCTGATCAGCCCATGCTGGCGAAACGTGAAAACCGAAATACGGCATTATCAAGCGAATTTTGGGGATCTAACATCCCCAACATTTGTGCTGATGATGTTGATCAGAAGAACAATAATGAAAGCTGCCCAACCATATCATCCAGCTCAGAGAAGGACACAGTCACTCACCTGAACTACAAATTTTCTCCGCTATCTCAAAACTTTGTGTTAAACTCAAAATCAAGGTAATATACTCGAGAACAGCGAATATTTTCAAATATCGATTCATATCAGTACAATAATCACTAATTCAAACTGTGTGGCTAAACAAAATATCTATCGCTCAACAAAGAAGATAATATTATTTGACTAACTGAAGAGAATAATTTTTAGTTACTCATAAGTAGTGTAGTTACAACACACAAATTTCACATGGATTATAATCGGAAAGTATGCATGTTCTTAAACTCATTCTATCTTGTCCAGTTCATTCATAGAAATGGGTAATATATTTCTAACTGTTACACAAATAATCTAAGCTAAACTCTAGTACTTAATACTTCTTTAAATGTCTAGGATTAAATTACATAAGTACCGACTGGATTGACCGATTTTTGATTTGATTTTGACCAATTTGGTCTCGTGTGCTGTTACGGGTATGAGGGCGGTTGTCACTTCCCGGCTGCCCACACCGTGGAAGGTTGTTTCTTGAGGAACCTGAAAAGGAAGATAGATTAGTATTGGTGCGTGACCGCAGAGCCCAAGGGACAACTGCTTGAGGCCGGTCATGCACGGCCTTTTTATGAAAGGTATTTAGAGGATTAGCTCCGTTCTTAAAGGCCCTTAGTGGGCACCCTTACCCAAGGAGACGGAAATCCGTGAGTTAGGGGGAGGTGTGACATTTTTAGGGCCGACCTTTTCTAACCCTTCCTTCCTTGTGAGAAGGCAGGATCGCTGCAGATGCTGGTTGTCCGAGGGAAACACCTTACTGCTGTCACACCCCTCTGCAGTCAGCAGTACGACTTTGCCCTCAGACCTTGGGTAGCTGCAATCGACCCGCCTGGCATGGTAGGACCTGCAGGAACATGTGTTCCAGCCAATATAGCTCGTTTGGGTCATCACGATAGGCAAGCCCGATCACCACGTCAAGGTAGCAGCTACGGTCGGATTGACCGATTGAAATCAAAAGGTATTTGTAGTTCATTAATGTATGAGATCATAGATACCTTTGTAAATGTTGTCAGTGTATTTTGGGGTCTACTGACGGAAAAGAACTGATGTTAGGATCAGGGTGCCAATTAATAAAGATGATATAATTCTAGTTAAGATTGTGAGTTTTAATTTACTGAAAGCGAGCAAAGAAGGTTAATGATAACCAAACCATTATTTGGTATCATTCGTTAGAGTCATTAACTACTATTTTCTTGAGGTATGTTATTAGGTGTAGGTTAGTCAGTTTAAATCTGCTTAGTTATCATAATCATTGATTTAGAGATGGTAGATGAGATGGTTTAACAGTACACAGGTGCATACACTCTTTGTTTTCCTGTAAATGTTAAATTTCAGTGTTTTAAATTCTATATTGTTCTCAGACCTTAGTATCTGTGCCTAAACCTTTTTAATACCTCTGATAATACTACTACTACTTCTCTGAAATTCATCTTGTATTGTTACCTTATCGCAGCGGAGTGTCATTTACGAAATGTAGAGGATAGAAAACGAATATCTAGCGGCCATTTTAACCGAGTTATTGGGTAAAAAAAATTCACTTAGCTGGGTTGGAAAACACCAACTGCAAACCAATAGTCCATATCCGACCAAGAATTCTGATGGAACGAATGGCTTCTGAGTATATTGTTAGTCGCTGGATACCATAGGACTGCATATCTTAGCTCTATTCTTCTGTGTTGTGGATTAGACTTTTAAGGTCAGAGACTCGGGATGTGAACTACTTAGAAAAAAAAACCCACCTGATTAGGTTTGCATGTCCTCAATATAATTCGTGTTGTGCATGAATATTTAGGTGCCCTTCTTTTCCAACGTTGATGTGTCTAAATAATAAAACAATTTTTCATTATAGAGTGACAGAGATCGTTGTTTACTGCTGAAATTGTGAGTCGATCATTGTTAGACCATCATTAGAAACCTGGAAGTACTAGATGGCTGTTTCGTCCTGGTATAGAACCTATCCGCAATGCGCCTCCACGACTCCTACTACTCACAGGACTCGAACCCAGGACCTTTGGTCTTGCGCACGAACGCCTAACTCCTGGACTAATACTGCGACGATACAGTCATCCAGTGCTTCCAAATTTCTATTGATGGTGGTCTAACAATGATTGACTCATGATTTCAGTAATAAAGAACTCATTATAGTTAGTATGGAAACTTTCGAACTAACCGCTGATTTATGTTTTCAATTAAAATCATGGAGATTAGTGCTTTTTACACATTTTCGAAATCATCAACCAATCATTGTTAGACCACCATTAGAAACCTGAAAGCACTGGATGGCCGTTTCGTCCTGGCATGGGATTCATCAGTGGCAGTGCGCATCCACGACTCCTGCTTTTCACATGATTTGAACCCGTGACCTTCGGCATTGTGCGCGAAGCCTAACCTCTTAACTACTGGGCGGGGATACAGTGGTGTTAGTGTCTAACTCTGATTGATCTAGGGATTTCGCGTGACCTCACCGATTTGTCTTTGGTAGTTACTGCCTACACCCTAACAGGGTTGAACTCCACTGGTCACATCTTCCCACTAGAATTCCGAGTATATTTTCTCACGAAGTTAAGTGAGGAAACTAGTGAGCATATTTTACGATATTTTCAATTAGAGCTATGGAGATTAGTGTTTGTTTGTTTTTTTTTACACATTTTTGATGATTTCTAATGGTAGTCTAACAATGGCTGATATATCAGTAGATCAATCAGAGTTAGACATTAATTAACACCGTTGGATGCCGGCCCAGTGGTCCGATGGTTAGGCGTTCGTGCGCAATACCGAAGGTCCCGGGTTCGAATCCCGCGAGGTGTAGGAGTCGTGGATGCGCACTGCCACTGACGAGTCCCATACCAGGACGAAACGGCCGTCTTACAGTGCTTCCAGGTTTCTAATGGTGGTCTAACAATGATTGATTGATGATTTCAAATGTGTAGAAACACAAAACCTCCAAAACTTTGCCCGATGAGATATATGAATGTTTTTGCAGATTCAGTATTGTTTATAATAATAGAAATGACTGACATTATTATTATTATTATTATTATTATTATTATTTGCCTTCTTTAGAATTGTTGTTGTTATTTTGTTTTTCTTCCGCTGTTTTTTATTTTTATTCAGATGCCTGATTGTACAGGGATGGTGATGGAAGAAAATCCTAATAAATTAATTATGAATTTTTTACACTTTTTACGTAGTATTGGGTTAGGTAAGAATGGTATCATGTTTATCGCTGTTTACTATTTTCTGCTTTGAAAACTCTGTGTCATGTTGATAAACCTGCATTGTATATTTTTGCATTATAGGACTGTAAAGATTGTTAAGTAGTTAGTTACTCATTGAAATCATGAATTGATCAATGTTCGATAACCATTAGAAGCCGAGTAGCTCTGGACTCGTAGATTGATTAAAGTTAGACGATATGAACATCGTTATGTGGCCGGAGGGTCCAGGATTCGATTCCTGCCTTCATCCGTAGTCGTGGATGCGCACTACTGATAAGTCCCCATATTAGGACGAAACGGCCATTCGGTGCTTTCAACTTTTTATTGGTGATCTCTCATTGATCGATTCATGATTTCAATAATAAATAAAAAATCTCTACAACCGTACAATTAAAACAGATTGTTGTTGTTTCTAACTGACTGACTGACTGACTGTGATTTATCAATCTCTGTATGTGGTTTTTTATACGGATCTTGAAGAGTGATTGGTTTAATAGTATCATTGTGTTATCAATTTTAATGAAGTTGAAATGTGGTTAAGAGTGACATTTTATAACACACACACGTATATATATACACAGTTGTCTTATTTGAAACTAGTCACCTGGATGCACATGTCACACATACACCGGCTATTGATAGTCACACTGACTGCGACTCAATCATTCATAATTGGAATATACAAACTTTTTGTTGGGGACGTTAGGTCCCCAGAACTCGCTTGATATATGTCTTAATTTTGGATTTGATTCATGGGCTGACCAGTTGACTTTGAGATCCCATTTCACACCAGGAGAATCCTTGGTTGGGATTGTCTGATGTGTTATTTTAGTGTGCTGTTTTTGTGACTCTCCCAAGGACGTTTCTATAATGTATAAATAAACGCGATTTGTGTACTTTAGATCAGTGTGTTTGCTGCGTGTTTGTAGAATACACCTTCTACGCTATATCAAGACTTTTTCGTTAGTTCCTTTGGGTCAACGGATCAAAGTAGCCTACCCGCACACTGGTTCATTGTCTCGTTCTCGTTTATCGACTAAGGTGAACTCGTAATAGCTTCAAGCATAGCAAGTGACGACCATAAATAAATTTATACTCTTAGAAGAATTCATATTCAACTGATCGGTGGATTTCGGATTTGAAACTATTGATACTGAATTTTAATTCAATTTGAAATGATTTCAATTATCCTGTTGTTTTGACTAAAATTTGATCAGTTTTAATTGTGCCCATATTACAAGTACATTCATTTAATAATTCTTAGAATACTGTGCATCGTAAATTGTATTTCTAGCCACAATCTAGTTTTTGTTAAATAAATATATAATCATTCCTCTTGGTCAGAAAAAAAACTCATAAATGTCGTCTTAGTGTATGAGATTCATTAGCTATGCGCTTTCACTACTCCTACTACTCACAGGACCTTCGATCTGCCACGCGAACGCTTAACCCCCCCCCCTCAGACCTCTGAGCTCTGGCATCCATCGATGTGTTAATGTCTAACATGTATGATCAATTTAAGGATTTTGTGCAATCTCACTCTCATGTGTTTCATTCATGCTTCCAGGTTTTTAATGTATTGGTGGTCTAACAATGATTCATTTATGATGTCATGGTAAAACTACAATCTCCATAATACTCTGATACAAAATTTAGAAGTAAATTTTTTTTCCAGTTGTACAATATCCTAATTTCTAATAGCAAGAATAATACTGTTATGCTCGTCACTTGATATGTACACACACTAATACATGCTCACTGTTAACTGATTTTAAATAGTGATTCCTGAAGTTCTAGTGCAAAGCTCTTATTGGTGAAGTTTAGCCAGCATCATGTGTGAATCAGTTATTCCACTATGAGATCGTAAGGTGAGCAAGTAATATAATTAGTTGATAACAAACAGAAATGTATACTTTGTGGATATGAATTTAGTAATATGGAAGACAGTTGATTTCTGCAAGGCCTTAAAGTACTGGGTTCGATCACAATGGGATCATTGGTGAGTATGAGTCTGGAATTTCCTGCTATAAACAAATACTAGGGTCAACCAGTCAATCAACAGCAACGTAGAACTTCACAAGCACGTACATCAGTTCAAGTTTCCACACCAGATCAGCACAGAGATACAATAGTCAATTCAAATCCCATAGTAGTAGAGGTAGTAAAAATATTAGCGGTAATCGGAGAGATTAGGGTTCGAAGATATTATTCAAGAAGTATAATTCAGTGAAGGAACACTAGGGTGTAAATGAATGAAGGAAAAGTAAATAAATTTGATATCATATGTGTTTGTGGGGAATCTTTAGCATGAAACATTTCAAATTAGTTGACACAAGTCAATCAGTTGTTGGTATTTGCAGTCTTGAAGTGACCACGAATGCTTTATGTAAGATTCGAGTCATATTGTTTATGAGTGTAACTAACCAGCCCTCAAATGCCCATCCTACATACCACAGTCAGCCAGTATCTGAATGTAATGAGAACAAAGGCATATGTTTAAATAATCATATCAATGCAATCCTTTCATAATGCATTTATGTCCAAACATATTGATCAAATACAATCCATAGCACCGATAATGTGAAAAGATATGACACTACTGACCTAAAATAAATATTTTGAGTGTTACTCCTCTAGAATTAATGACACTTACTCTGAAGAAAAACTGTTTATGAGGTTGTGTGTGCATTTAGAGAAAATTTTGCACTCGAAAATACTAACACAGTGAAAAAAAGGTATTTTATTTATTGATAAATGTAAAATATATAGAGACCAGTTTGATGCAATCGAGAATTTTCAGTCATCACTTAGCTAATCACGATGTAGATTTTGTAAGTGAAATAGTTTACGAATGAGAGAACAATAATATTGGAAAATGTCAGCAAATTTTACATATTCATTAAATCTATTAAAGTTCAGTAAAAGATATTCTGATTGTTAGGCGAAAGGGCTATCACATTATAAACATCAATTATAGAATGCAAAAGGCACTGCTAGAACCATTAAGAGGAGTGAATTTTACGAAGGAATACCAGAAATGTTGTTATTTTGTTGGTTCGTCAGCCGAATGTAGTGTCACTAGCTCAACGTTTGTTACAGGATTACGGCTTTACATTTAAAATTTAGGTATAGTCGTTTCGTCCTGGTATGGAACTCGTCAGCAATGCGCATCTACAACTCCTTCATCTCGCAGGATTCAGACTCAGGACGTTCTGTCTTGTGCGCGAACGCCTAACCTCTGGACCACTTAGCCGGTATCTAACGGTGTCAATGTCTAACTTCAATCACTTCGTGAATGCGCGCTGCGGATGAGTCCTATACAAGGACGAAACGGCCGTCAGTGCTTCCAGGTTTTTAAAGGTGATCCAAAATTGATCGATTTATGATTTCAAAACGTAACTCAACAATCTTTGCAACCGCGTAGTGAAAATTTAAGGACAGTGTTGATTTGACACTTTTATACAATCTACAATGTTAGAATTAAATAATTTGATATCTATCACCCCATCATTTCTACATTTTACTAACAAATAAAAAACAATAAATTTTCTCTTATCATTATAAACTCTCACTGTAATATACAATAATATTTCTACTTTTCGTTATACATGTGATATATACATTCATACATTTTTAAAACCATGAATCGATCAATGTTAGACCACCATTAGAAAACTTGAAGCACTGGACGGCCGTTTCGTCGTGGTATGGGTTCGAATCCTGCGGGGTGCAGGAGTCGTGGATACGCATTGCTCAGGAGTCCCATACCAGGACGAAACGGCCGTCCAGTGCTTCCCTGTTTCTAATGGTGGTCTAACATTGATCGATTCATGGTTTCAAAAATGTGTAACTTAACAATCTTCACAACCCCGTAATACATATACATTCATTAATATAATATTTTTCTGTCTAACCAGTTTTGAAAATAGATATGTTGATATCCTATTGAAAAGTTATACCCTGTAATTTCAACAGAATCCTGAACATCACTCACAATCATTGTTTACGTAAAACTGAACATTGAAATCAAGATGGTAGGCTCAGTTATACAATTCCTGATAGGTGATTTTACTATAAGTAAGTAATATTAAACTGTGACGTAACAATTATCCTTAATTATTAATGATTATCAGTCTATTTATTCATTATTGAAATGGCATTAAATTTACCAGAGAAGGTAATATTTATCTTACAGAATTATTTAAACAATTTTCATTACAAAATTTTCTTCTCCCAATCATTAAATTTCATTATCATTGAAATTATTTTCGGAAGCAGTACAAATTTAATGAGTTATAGGACATGATTATTTCTGGTTAGATTTGAATTGTGTGCAAAATTATTCACCTTTTAAGTCATTCTTTCACAGTCAGGTTAGTGTGTCATCAGTTCACTTACTAAAGCTTAATAGATGAGTTTTATTATATAGTGACATTTGTAACCCCAAAGATTTACTATTAACATCAGTCAGTTAAATATGACCCGATGTAGAGTGAACTTGACTTTCTGAGTCAATCATCTTGCCTTCCTAATATGCATTCAATATGTCGACCAGGTGTCAGCATGTCTTTTTGCACATTGCAATCATGAATCAATCGCTCATTGTTAGACCACCATTAGAAACTTGGAAACACTGGACGGCCGTTTCGTCCTGATATGGGACTCATCAGTTCTAGTGAGAAGATGTGACCAGTGTGGAGTTCAAACATATCGGGTCTAGACAGTAACTACCAAAGACAAATGGGTGAGGTCGCGCAAAATTTCTAGATTGATTGGGTCGTTCGATACCGGTCAAGTGTTCCAGAGGTTAGGCGTTCGCGCGCAAGACCGAAAGTCCTCGGTTCGAATCCTGCTAGGTGCAGGAGTCGTGGAATCGCACTGCTGATGAGTACCATATCAGGACAAAAAGGACGTCCAGTGTTTCTAACTTTCTAATCTCCATAACTCTAACTAAAAAATATACTTGATTGTAATCTCGTCGAATCGATTCCTTGCGTAAAATTTACAAGTCCACCTACTTTAGTCATCTCC